TTCTCCAAGACCACAGCTCAAAGGCATCAATTATCCTTCTATCCTTCCTAGTCATTGCCCAACTCTCTGACCCGTAACAAGTGATAGCAAAGACCATAGCCTTTATCAGACACACCTTAGTCTCCAGAGAGACACCATTGCTCTTCAGTACTTTGGAGAGGTCCCTAACAGCAGACTTTCCCATTGCAATACGTTTTTTTTTTATTGGTTACTAGTGACAAGCAGACTAACGTTGTTAACAATATCAGTCTCTTCACCATCCATCCTGATGCTGCCAATTCGTCCAGTGGTGAGAATCTTTGTCTTCATGACATTGAGCCTCAATCCATTCTGAAGGCTGCAGTCCTTGATCCTAGGTAGCCCTTGACTACCTAGAAAAGTAGTTATCTGAATTAGAGTCAGCTATGGGTCAAGAAAACAAAGATTCTTACGATTAGACCAATAGGCAGCATCATGACGGATGGAGAAAAAATGGAAACCATCAACAGCTTCATCTTGCTTAGATCCACACTTAACACCATTGGTACCAGCAGTCAGGAAATAGGGAAACACATTGTACTGGTAAAATCTGCAATTAGGGACCTGTCCAAATTCTTGAGGAATAATGTCAGTTTGAGGACTAAGGTGATAGACTCAGGGTATAGTCGTTCTAGTCGCTTGCTATGAATCTGAGAGCTGGATCATAAATAAGAATGATAGAAAAAGAATTGATGCCTTTGAGCCATAGTGTTAGAGAAGAGCGCTGAACATCCCATGGTTGGCCAAGAGAATGAATAGATACGTCTTGGAGAGGGTGCAGCTAGAGGGCTCTTTGGAGGTAAAAATGATGAGGCTTTGCCTCACATACGTCAAGCATGTTGCTAGGAAGGGCTGGCTATTCCTTGGAGAAGGACGTAATACTGGGCAGGGTGGAGGATTGGCAACGGAGAGGAAGACCTTCAACAAGGTGATTGACATGTTGACTGCTACAGTGGGCTCTTGTCTGTCAGGAAGTGTGAGCATGGCACAGGATAGGAAAGGGTTCAGAACTTTTGTTTCATAGGGTTGCTGTGAGTCGTAATTGACTCAACAGCACTTAACAACAACATGGGTCATTTCTGACTTGACAATTGTCAATTCTTTTGTTGACTCACACAATAATTATGAATAAAAAGAAACTCTGTTGGTGTAGTGCATCTTGTTTTATGCTACTGACTGAAAGGTCAGTCGTTTGAATGTATCAGTGCTACAAGGTTGAGAAAGATGGGCCTTCTCTGCTCATGAAGATTTTAGTCTTGGAAATATAATGGCTATCACTGTGGATCTGCAGGATCTACTCTGCAGAAATGAGTTTAGTTTGGCAGATAATAAAAGGTATGATGAAACTGTAAAATATCATCGAGGTGGTTTTTACTTTGAAAGCCCTTAATGAGGTACCTTTACTTAAAAGAAGAATTAAAAAAAAAAAAAATTCATGCCTGATCACATTTTCCTAGAATATTCTAATTTGGTTTCTCTATGTCTTATTTTTGAAATTGGACGTAAGAACTATGGAAAAGGTCTTCTCTTCAAGAAAGCCTACATAAAGTGATTTGGATGGCTAATTTAGAAGGACCTTAGTAGTTTTACCTGCCAGAGTGATATATTAAGCCTGGATCATTTTTAAGAGGATGTTGTTGTTGTTAAGTGCCGTCGAGTCATAGGCGACTCATAGTGACCCTGTGAATGAAAGACCTGGACACTTGTGTAACTTTCATCCTTTCTCCAGGTTCATAGGGTTTCCAGAGGCAAGCTGTTATGGAAGTAGATGCCACTCCTGCTTCCAAGTGTTTGAATTGGGGAGCTCCACCAAACACTGTCCACCATGGGTAACCATTATCGCATTTGACACATCAGTGTCACAGGGTTCAGCTTCACAGCAAACCCGAGTTACCTGTGTACAGCAAGTGGACACACCAGGGCTATATGACCTAGAAGAATGTTTCACCAAAAAAACAATTAAAAAGCAGGCCTGAGGGCCGCTGATTAGAGTCACTCACCTTTGGCTCAGTAGCATCACTAGAGACATAAATATTTGGACATTTACTACATGCAGAGAATTTAGACAGCTAGGATATTTAGCCCTGATGGCATAGTATGTAGAGAGTTGGTTGCTAACCGAAAGATGGTGCTTCCCTGGCAGTGCAAATATGCCAGTGGCTCCTCAGGAGAGAGATGGGCAGTCTTATCCCATGTGATCTATAGCCTCCAAAAACTCAGTGAAGGATTGATTCCAACTCAAGGACAATAAGAATGTGGGGGACACAAATAGACAAGAGATTTACTTTGATGACGTCTATGCTCTAGTGGTATAAAAACATTTACTATACAGTGATATATGTAAAACAATTTTATTTAGTGATAAGCATTGTAAAGAAAATAAGGTAATGTAAGTGGGAAGTGGGAGCATTGCCTTAGACTGGACAAGGAGAGGCTTCTCTAAGGTAATAACATCTGAAATAAAGCCAGAATGTTAAGGAGGAGCTAGCCATTTTAAGATTGAGGGAGAGCATTTTAGGAGAAGAGGTTTCCATTGATTTGTTTTTAGTTCATGTCCCCCCATACATGCGAGTAGAGCTCTGCCCCAGGGGTTTCAGTGGTTGATTTTTAGGGAGTAGATTGCCAGGGCACCCTTGCGGGTACGTGAACCTCCCATCTTTTGGAGACAAGTATGAGTTAGCCATTTGCACAATTTTAGGAGGAGAAATCATTAATTTTAGTGTCCAAGGACAAGAATGATTTTGGTATACACAGGAAAAGAAAAAGTTTTAGTGTTATAAGAATATAGTGAATAAGAGAGATGGTACAAGGTTAATAGAAGTAGACAGGCTAGATCCTATAAAATTGAGTAGACTATGACAAGGGTTTAGAATAAAAATCAGCATAGAATAAAATCAGCTAGATTCTATAGGATTGATGTGTAGGCTAGAATAAAATTCAGAATATGATAGTCAACTCTTGGAGGGCCTCAGTCACTGATCTGGAGTGATACAGATAAACTTGTCATGGAACTAGTTCCAACTTGGCACCTGTGACACAATGCATTGCAGAGTAGAACCAGTAGAAGTAGGCTATAGGATTGATTGCCTTGGCTGTAATTTTATTATTGAAGCAAATTGTCAGACCTTTCTTCCAAAATGCTTTTGGGTGATTTTAAACTATGAACATTTAGGTTAGTAGATGAGAGCAAACTGTTTGTTGTTTTGTTTTTTTTTTCTATTAATTTTAATGAAAGTTTACAGAGACTTAGGATTTCCATTCATTCATGGTTGAACTTTTCTCCCTGCCCACCCTCTCTCCTTCAATTCGCTCTTCTCTTTGAAAAGTAAAAGAAAAATTCTTTCATTGTTATAACAATCCCTACCCCCAAGTCCACTCCACTGTGCAGCCTTCATTCTGGACACCTGTCATGACAATAATACCTAACCATATATCTCTTTTAACAGTTCTCTCCCTCATCTGTTTCAATGCAGTATACATTATTTATCGCCTCTTTTTCAGTCTTCCCTTAACCCCAATGTCAGTCCTATTTTACAACAGTGGCCTTAAACAATATTTGTTCTTTTGTGACTGAGATATTTCACTCAGCATAATATCCTTCAGGGTCACCCATTTTGTATAGTATTTCATGAGTTCCTGTTTTTCAGTGCAGCATAGTATCCCATTGAGAGCAAACAGTTTGTACTATTCATGGACCTTGTGGTCAAGATAGGCAGCTTGATAATTCAGTGAATCCTGGAGAAATGGCCCAAAGAGAATTTCCTTGAGTGAAAGAAAATGCATCCAGGAATTAGGAGCTCTTAAAGGAAGAGTAAGGGGCCCTCATGGTATAGCAGGCAAGCACCAAAAGCTCAGTGGTTTGAACCTGTCAGCCACTCTGCAGGAGAAAGATGTGACAACGTGTTCCCATAAAGAAACCCTGTAATAAAGTTCTACTCTGTCCTGTAATATTGATACGAGTTGGAATTGACTCAACAGCAACAGGTAAAGAGGAAGTGTGGCTGGTGGTACCAAATTATATGTAGCCAACTTATCCTTGATGAAGTACAAAAGTGAAACATTTGTTCTCACATATTCAGAATATTTGTTGTATTTCTGCGTTATAATTAATGGCATTGAATTATGAGAGCAGAAACGCTTTGACATAACTACGAGACAAATACAAAAATTACTAGTAATGCCCTTAAAAGCAAATACAAATCTACAGATGCTCTACACATTTACATGGGCATACATGAGGAATGGGAGATATGATGTGTCAATTTTTGTTGTATATATATATTTCTGTTTTACTAGTGACTTTGGTGGTGTAGGGAGCTGTGCTGCTCACCCAAAGGCACTGCCTCTTTGGTGGTTTGAATCTACTAGTGACTTTAAGGGCAAAAGATAGGCAGTCTCCTACCATGCAGTTTACAGCCTCTGAAAACTGGCATTAGGGTCAGCTATGACTCAATTCTGACTCAGTGGTAATGAAGTTTTTAATTTTTCTAGTTACCTAAAAGATAATATAATCAGAGACTGATATGTTTACAAAAAAAAAAGATGTTTGCAAATCAAAAAGATTGTTTATTGGAGATAATTTGTTCTTAAACTAGGGATGAGAAGTGAATTAATTTGTGGGGCATTGGTGATCAGGAAGGTGAATTTGGCTTCAGTGTGAACTGTAGGAGATTTGGCATGGCTTGTTACTATCTGTAGATTTAAATATATATCATTGAGTACTTCTTAGTGACCTTTGTATTATGGCCCTTGGCAATAAGTGATCAGTATAGCGTTTTTCTTTTTGGGCCTTCAAAAGTAGAATGTTATTATTCATGCCTTTAAACCAGTATCACTTTACAGGTTGCAGAGAGACTAGGCCTAAGGAAGATAAGATGATAATAAATTTATGTTGAACAAGAATCATATCAGTGGGAACAGACTTTAAATTTGTTTCCACTGGTTCTTACTGCTTATTTGTCTCTTAAGGTTAGCTACTGTCTGTGTTCTTTTTTTTTTTTTTAAGACTGGTCAAGTGAAGCAGTGGTAATGGAGAAGGAACAAAGAAATCTGTAACTGACTGTGATCAATTAGTTGTGGCCTCCACTGCACTCGGACCAGCCTGTCTGTGTTCTTTAAAGAGCATTTCTTGCCCTCTTTCTCCTTTGCTATTATATATGCCAACAATACATCTTTCCCAAAACTATGTTCCTAGAGAAATTTTGTCAACTATAAATGTACTGCATATATACACACAAATAAGGGAGCTTTGGTAGCCTAGAAGTAAGAAGCTGAGCTGCAGTCCCAAAGGCATACATTTCAAATCTGCCAGCAGCTCCCTGGGAGAAGGATGAGCATTCTCCTCTTGTGTAATTTACTGCTTCTTAAAACCTGCTGGAGAGTCACCTATGAATTGGTTCTAAATCAACAGCACATGACAACAACCTACACAAATAGTCATCCATTATATACTTTTTACAAACTGAGTCTGTCATATGTGAAAAATATGGTACTTCAAATTTTCTTTTATTTTCCCCGTGAAATAGTGGTGGGTATTTTCTTTTCTTTTCTTTTTTTTTTTTTTTTAAGAAATAGTTTAAATGTATCTGAGAAACCTTAAGATAGCAACTATAACCTGAATTTGAATATCGCTAAATTGACCTTTTTTTCCTACTAGGATTCACTACAACATTTTCTATTGCCTATATCTTCAGGAGAATTCCCGTACTGAGATTTCAAAAGTCAAAGAGGAACCACCTATTTGGCCAGGGTACGTATAGCTATTTATTTTATATGAATGTGTAGATTCTTGTTTGTATGTGTTTTTCCCATACATGACTCATTCTCATACTAAAGAGAGGAAATATTTTAAAAATTTATTGAAGTAGTCATTTCAGTTCCTTTCTGTTCTATAAAGGACCCTGGTGACATGGTGGATAATGCATTAAATGCTAACTAAAAGGTGTTGGTTCAATCCACCAGCCACTGATGGGGAGAAAGATAGGATATCTCCTTCTTTTTAGGTTAACAACTTCAGAAACTAAGTAGTAGAGGGTCATTGTGAATTAGAATCCAGTTGACGGCAGTGAGTTTTGTTTTCATCTATTTTTAAAAAATTTTATTTTATTAATTTTAATGAACACTTACAGAGATTTTGGATTTCCATCCATTCATTCATTATCGCACTATTTTCTCTACCTCCCCCAGTTCGTTCCTCTCTTTTTTCCCCCTTGAAAGTCTGTTTTAATTGCCCCTTTGCCACAGTGCTTGTCAAAACCAGTTCTTATTAAT